TAAATTATATATATAATATAAAGTGAAAATGCAGATGATTTATCATAAGCATATTTATTTAACATTAAAATGAAAAATCAGAATCAAATCTTTCTGTTTCTGTTCGTGCTCCCACAGCACATGACAATAATGACTGAATTGTTCTTTCTTCACCACTTCCAAATATGTAACCATTCGCCTAAAATTAAATAAAGATGGGAATCATTTCATTTTCTAATCATAAAAGGTTTACCTTATCAACAGCACTCTTTAAAGTTAGCAAACTCCTTTCAGAATTAACATTAACAGGAATAAAGCAAACCAAACTGTAGCTTTGTATTAAATCAACTAAAGCTGCATTTAATTTTTTAAATTTTGATGTAAAAGGTCCGTCATCAAGAAGTTCTAATAAATATTCCAAATCTAGTACATCCGTATAGAAATCAAGACCAAAATCTAACTTTGTGGAATTCTGTTTTAATAAGTCAGCCTGAAATAAGTTTTAAGTTAATACACTTTAATAAAATAATTAATTAAGAGCTTGCTTATTCTACATCAAAAACATACCTTACTTAAAACATTAACATGTGGTAAGCCAATCTGAAGCATTGTGGACAATGACATTAGCAATGTAGATATAAATTTTGTTGGATTTGAACAGTAATGACAATCAACCATGTGCACAACACATAAATGATAAGATAAATTTTGCAGCTTTGCAAAAATGTTCTTTATAGATGTGTGATGTGTATAAAGTTCTACCTGCCCAGGTATATCAAAAATTAAGTAACTATTATTTATGGTCTTAAGTTTATCTAGAAGCCAGTCAAAGTTTTGCTCTAAATATTCCATACAATACATAAGTGCTCCATTCGGCCCAAGTTTAAATGAATTCATAACTTCTTCAACAGAAATGAGTTCAATTATATCAACAGCAGGTTTATATGTCATGTTATCATTAGCAGGATCCAAATTTATAACATCACATTCTCTGTTAAGCTTGTCTTTATAAAATTCCTGAATTTTTGCACAGTAAGTAGTTTTTCCTGACCCTGGTGGTCCTATAACTAACTGACCAAAATAAGCCTCTGCTTTTTTTGCACGCTTTGCAAGAGACATGTTTAACTTTCTTCAATTTTTAATCAAATCTAAAAGTGCTACAGCTATACCTCGAACTACTTCAGCTGAGTAATCTTTTAGGCAAAGAAAAATCAAGAGGGGCTTCTTAATCTGTAGACTACCAGCAATAAACCTGGCTGCTGCTTGTTGTTCTGTATTTTCTGCACCAAATACAACACTAACTGTATAAACTGGTTCCAAAGTGTTTGCTCCGTTTACTTGTTGATCCACAGTTACTCGTAAAAGACTGCCAAGTTTCTCAAACTGAGTGGTAATTATCATAAATTTATTAACGAATTCCCCGAAAACAAGCTCAGTATTATGCCCACCAACATTTATTGCTCCCACTTTAAAATTAGATTTAAAATGATGATTATCTTCAATTGACAAAGATTGCATTAAATTTGCAACATCCATAATAGGAATCACCTTTACATCCACAATTTTTTAAGGAATTTTACATATTATTGTTATAACTTAATTAAAAACAACCTTCTTAATTTCACAGGTTATGGCATTTATTCACAGATAAGCATTTATTTTTATTAAATTGTTGATCATGTTCATAGATCTTGCAATAATATTAATTGCTGATCTGCTTACTTACATGACTGATTCAAATGAAATCTTTCGTTAATTATTAATATTTTATTAATCCGTAACAAAGTAAAACAAGAATTGCTGAATTTTACATCATAACTTTACTCCCTTCGTTAAGATTGTAAATACATATTTTTTAATTTATTCTTTTTATTTGACTGCTACCATTTACCTTATACATCTATGAGTGAAGGAACTTAACCTATTATTTTTTTGAAACAACAAGAATAAACATGGAATAAACCATGAATACACGGAATAAATTCAATGTATGTGAAATTTAACTTAATTATTTTATTTGTTATCTTGTATTCCATTTATTAACGTGTTTAATTACTGTAGATGTGTGCTGTTTTACTAGAATTAATTAAGTCAAAATCAGAATTGTGTTTGTATTCAGAAGAAATAAACACTAATGTTGCCCAAACATTTAAACAGTGTTTAGAGGAATGTTACAAACAGAATCAGGATATAGACAAGAATTTAGAAATGAAAATAGAATCAGTGATTGATTTCTTGTATGAAGAATTAAATACTGGTCATTGGAGTGAAGTGCCTCTTAATATTAGACGTGCTTACAGTTCAGCATCTTTTGTTAAAGTATTTACATTTACAATGCTGTATTTTATATTAAAATCTTTAGACACAGTATTTTTTAGGCAATAATATTATTAAAGTATGATAAATCTGGAGAAGGTATTAAAAAAGCATTAAAATGTATAGATATGGGTATTTTGCTAGGTGCTCCTTTGGAGTATAATCAAAATCTTTTAATAGATAGTGCTTCACAGTTGATGAAACTTTTAAATAATAGTGAAGAGTGTACAGGAGTTTGCCCAGAGCCAAGTTCACAGGAATTAGAAATACCTGAACCAAAAAGATATAAAGTTGATAACTCAGAAAAAGAAAATTATATATATTGTGAAGGGGTTGAAATTCCTACTGAAGACTGTCCATCCTTGCAACATTTCAATAATAAATATTTTATGTCACAAGTACCTGTAAAAATAAGAGGTACTGCCTACTTGTATTAATTCATATGAATTTATAATCAGTAAATAAAAATTATTTAATGAATACAGGATATATGTCCCATTGGCCTGCTTCCAGTAAATGGCTTGATGTTAATTATTTAATACAAAAAGCTGGCAACCGTACAGTTCCTATTGAAATTGGATCACAGTATGTAGATGAAGATTGGTCTCAAAAGTTAATGACAGTAGGAGATTTCATTAAAACTTATTACAGTAATGATGATTCCACAGGATATCTAGCTCAACACAACTTATTTGATCAGGTTTGCTAATTAAGGAACCAATGATATTAATGTTGTATTTCTAATGTTTTTTAGATTTCTGAATTAAAAGAAGACATTTGTGTGCCAGAGTATTGCTGTTTAAGTAGAAATTATGAAGAATGTTCAGAACCAGATATTAATGCTTGGTTTGGTCCCAAAGGTACCATATCTCCATTGCATTTTGATCCTAAAGATAATCTGCTTGCTCAGGTATATGTTATATTTATATTTATATATAATATA